AATATAATATGTTCAAAAATAATTATTGTACTGCCGAAACCAATAAGTACATTAAGAGAGATAAAGATACATACTATTTAATTTTAAAGTAATTCTAATCTCTGGGGTGATTTAGAGAAATTTCATAAAGAAGTTACCAGTACAATGAAGTCATTAAAAATGTATGAATATATGGAAACATAATCAAAATAATGGCTTTTTCAGTCTGGGCAGGGAACCTACAAAGAGCAAAGACACAGTGAAGAGAAATCTCAGGAAAGATTTGGGTAATAGAAAGAAGTTTACTTTTTATTGAAATAAAGTTTCTGTGGATGTATAGTAAGAGAAAGGTAGAAGGTTAGATTGGAGTTTCACAGATTGCTAAATTTGAACACCAGTTTATTCAGTAAAAAATAGCAAGCCATTAAAGATTTTCAAAGAAAAATATGTAATCGGACCCATGCTCTAAGAATATAATTTTGACATTGGAAATTAAAGCAAAATGGAGAGACATGGGACTAGAAACAAGGAGAGCACTTAGGAGAGGGTTCTTGGGAATGGTTCTGTACACTCAAGGTGCTGCTGGCAGAGGCTAAATGCCGCAGAGGCTAGAGGGGAGGAATCAGCTAACCTTTGGTTATGGAATAAGTTCACAAAGGTGACCATCAAGTGACTTAGCAGGACTGACCCTGAGAATAACTATGTAATTTTTTTTAATGGCAAATGCAGGGGAAACAGGTTTATGTGAGAGAAATAAGGACGATGACCACTTCAGACATGTTTAACTAAATACGCTATGTGAATGCATCAAGCTTGTAATATACATGAGGAACTTTAGGGTTGATCCTGGGGTTATGGGCATAATGATGAGCGAGAGGGACTATGGAGGACTTAGCTAATCCATAGACCCCCTTTTCCATTCTCATTACACACACACAAAATTTATAACTTTTAAAACATATCACCTAGCTCAGAAAAAAAAAAAAAGTCTCAGGTTTCATCAATGAAAATGTAGTAATCATGTAGGCTGATACCACAGAAGCATATGGGGGTATCTATCCCAGAAAGAGTCCCTAGTAGTGTGGTAATGGGATTTTAATATCTACATGAGAAAAATTCGATGTTCTGCTAAGGTATGAATTTGGAACTATGTCTTGGAGTCTGGCAGCACCTCCTTGCCAATGCACAGTCATTGAGATTCATGCCAGCTATTTTTATGGGTTGTGGATTTGTGACACATGAGTATTGTGGAAACCCAAATTGAGAAATTAAGGTAGAAATTTGTTCAAGAATTGATAAATTCCACAGCGTAAGGGCAGAAAGCAATCAGATTCTTTTGATAAGATCATTTAAATAATTCAAGATGCTCATAGAATTCCTACAGAAACTAAAATTACCATGAAAAGGCACTCACAATAAAAACTATAAAGCACATGAGAAAACAAGCTAACTTAAGACAAGGAAAACAAACACAGGAGACAACAGAAAAAAAAAAAAACTATAGCAGAACAGAAGGTAACAGAACAACCTGAAAATGATTATAAATTAACCATGTGAAATGTTCATAGAGGCAAAGGAAGACCATAAGAACAGATTTTTACAGAAAACAAAATTAGTATTTGACAAAACGAAACATTATCTATAAGTGGAAATATATTCATTAAAATACAAAAGCGAATGGATTAATTGAACAGCAAATTACATGTAACCAAAGGGAACAGCAGATTAAGTGCAGCTTAACCTGCAATTAAGATTTGAGAAAATTGTAAGAATGAAGCCCAGAAAAATAAATTAATAGAAATTGTAAAAGTGAGGTTAGTAGACAATGCCTAGTAGAATTTCCATATGGAGTAAACAGAGAAAATAGATATGAGAAATACGTTTGAAAAGGTAGTACCTTGAGAATTTTCTAGAAATTAGGAAAAGCACTAATGTTAATATTGAAGAAGTATAGCAAATCCTGAGATAGCTAATAGTAAAATGCAGATAAGATAGAAACAGATAATCCCAAAAACAGTAGAGAAAAAAATAGATTACCATAAAAGAATTAGCTTGACAGTAAAATTCCTATCAGCAATACCTGAGACCAGAGACAGTAAAATAATATATTCAATGTGCCAAGATAACTGTCAACATAGAATTTTATACCTAGTCAAACTATTGTTCAAGAATGAAGATGAAATAAAACCATTTGCTGACGAAACAGTCTGCAACATCTACCATTCAGACTCTTGCTGAAAGAACTACTAAAGTATTCAGTTAAGTCAAAAACATTGAACCAGAAGTAAGGGATAAGATGAAAAAAATAAATGGAGCAATAGGAGTTTGCAGCTTCAGAAAAGTAGAAATTATTTGGAATGGGTCTGGGTAAAACTTAACCACCAGGCAATCAAAGCTGAACAACAATATTATGGCATAGTAGTGAGGAAATTCCTGAGATTAGTTAGATGCTGTCAGGTCCATGTAATATAACTTTTTACACAAAGGAATCAGTATGGCAATCCAGGTGACGCAGTATTGCTAATAGTTGAATGATTTTTGATGTTGGCAGTATAATAGAACTTTAAAAATTATATAAAAGAATATATTGGTGGTTGGATTTCATTCCCTAGGTTTCTGGTTTAAATGTTTTGGAACATATCCTAAGCATCAGTGTTTGTCTTTTTTAAAGCACCAAGGTGATTCTGTGCAGGCAAGGTTGAGAACCACTGTAATAGATTGCTAGAGAAGAGCAGAAGTCCAGAAGCTGGCCTTGGCCACTTGTCAAAGAAGAGAATTCAGTTCATATTCATGACAGTAGAGGCCTTTTCTCACTCAGGAAAAGTAGCTTGACTTCTTTAGAAAGGGTTGGCAAACTTTTTCTGTAAAGTTCCAGATAATAACATTTTAGGTGTTGTGGGTCAGATGATTTCTGTTGCAACCGCTCAACTCTGCTGTAGTGTAAAAGCAGCCATAGATAAGTATGCAAACAGATGGGCATGGCTGTATGCTAATACAATGTTATTTGTAAAAGAGTGATAGGCTGAATTTGGTCTCTGGGCCTTAGTGTACCAACCTCTGCTTTAGAATGTTAAAGTATACAGTTAAGGGAACATAATTGAGAACCATTGCTTTAGCTTTGGAGAAAGTAGTCCCCTGTGTGACTAGATCAAAGCAGCGTTCCCTCACAAGATAGGGAAGAGCATATGAACATGAAATGCAACAGAGTGTGAAGATCGCAGAGACAGAGGCATGGAAATGTCCTGGAGGGAAAGTGTGAATAAATAAAAATGCCCACATAGAAAGTTAAGGTTCTGTCAATAAAGTGGTAGCTGTGGCCAAATAATAATTTGGAAATGCAGGAGAGGTTTGTTTTGTTTTGCATTTGTTTTATTTTGTTTTTCACATTTAGAAGGAAAACATGTAAATAAATAGCTTGGATTTTCCATTTACTCACATCTAGATGCTTTGGTTTCAAAAATCAATGTATTTATATATTAGCATGTTATTGTAATCATTACATTTGTATTAAAACTTTTTCTCCTTTTCCATCCTTAGCCACCTTCTCCAGTGTTATGTTCATTTAAGAACATTTTATTTTCACACATCTTGATTAAATTTACAGATTATCTAAAGCATAAACTTAGATTATAGTGATTGAAATAGCAGAGGGATGAGCTTCCTGTTCAGCATAACTTTCAAATTTTACTTGAATTTATCCCCTTTTATCCTTTCCTATCCCTCATAACTGCTTGAATGGCTTATAAAACTACTTAATACTAACACATATTTTAATTGACATTTTTACACTTCCATAATTTCTGTAACCTAATTTGGTTACATCTTAGAATCAATGGCTATGTACTGAATCATTGAATATGTATTTTATTTTTCTACTCCAAAGACTGTTAGGAATTTCATAGTGCATCTTCCAATCAATAGCATATTAGAATTAAGGAAATAGGATATTATCTTGTGTTTTTGCCTCTACCTTTTCTCTGGCATCTGCTTCCACTGCCCCCACAGAGTTATATTTCTGGGAAAGAAATCTGATCTTGCCACTACCTTACCTAATAATTTTCAGTGCCTCAAAACAATTTTGAGTGATCTCAAAGTCCAGACAACTTGGAATGGCATTCAAAAGCTTTGCTTTCTAAACACTTTCATATTGTAGCCCCTGTATTCGATCTCCAGCCTCATTTCCCACCATCTTTCTATCTTTTATGTAACTTGCTTCATTCATTCCTAAATATCATACTCATTATGCAGTATTTCAATACAAGAATTGTAAACATCTCTGAAGTAAGTTTAATAAAATGGTATTGATGTTGAGCTGGAAATAGCTAAAGCAGGCTTTTCCTAAAGCTTAATTATTTAAGATTGAAATGGATCTTTGTCTTTGCAGGAAAAGCTTGACTTTTTATATTAGAATGAGTTACCAAAGAAGCTTATGGAATATCTTTATTCTGAGCCTTCTAAACACATTAGACACTCTTCTGTTTGGAATGATTTAGGTAAACCCATGAGAGAGGGAGAAAAAATGAACTCTGAGGCTATGCCCAGTTCCAGGACCTTTGGATGATTAATGACTGTATCTAAATGAGGCCAAAATATCCAGATGGGAGTAAGAAGAAAAATTCAGTTAGTCTTCTACGTGGTCTCCCTGTATGTTTCCAAAGACCTGGATATTTAACAGTTGGGTGTATGTAATTATTTAAATAAAACCATATATTTCACTAGTATTTTCTGCTTTGAATGTTAATATGTTGCCATGGTATGAATAACTTTACCAGATAATCACTTACTAATTATTCCCATCTGTCATCGAATACATGTATCAAATTGTAATTATTATAGAAAGATAAAAATGTGAGTTGATTGAAAATGCTTCAAACTTTATTTGGTTTGGTCTAAGGATAAAATAATAATAAAGCAATAGTGCAAAATAAATTTTCCTGATGCAGTTTTGACTAATTCTTTTTATAAAATGGAAATGGCTTATTTACCATATGCATATTTATAAGGCTCTATTTTTAATCTAGGTATGTGTCTTGTGCTCTGGGCTGTCCATATGAAGGAATTATTACACCGCAAAAAGTGACAGAAGTAAGCTACATCTCCAGCTTTTTTGGTTTATGGTAACATGATATATATTATTTTTAAAAGTGGAGTTTCTTACTGTTTACTGAATCTGCATAGCATGAAGTCATAGATTAAGAGATGAGCCCTGAAGACATATTTCATCACTTAACTAATAGTTTCATTTTAACACTGAAGTCCTGTACATTGGCTATAACTTTTCAACATTAAGGGACAGTTGAGTCCTACAATTTGGGTGCTCAAAGGTGGAAGGGATGAAAGTATCTATTTTGTTTTTTTGTGGTTATAACCTAGTGAGTGGCCTTTGCAATCTCCATCAGAATGTCAGGGCAGTTTGTGGAGAAACCCTTAAACTTTGCCTTGGTTGCTTAGGTAGCATCCGTATTTTTCTCTTGCATACTTTGGCCCGTTGTATCAGAGTATACACCACTTTTGTGTTTTTATCCTTTTGTGATCCTGTAGGTCTTACTGCTGTGATTAAGTTGCTATTATTCCAGAAAAATTTTAAAACAATAGATTATAGTCATTAAGGCCCTGATTACTGAAGTTTATTTTCTTCCTGTCCTTTATTATTTATTTATACCAATGAGTACAAAATGCACTGTCTTTGAGATTATATTAGATTGTCTCAGACATTTATTTGTATATAAAGTACATTAATGTAGACTTGTTTTTAAGGTTAATTTTGACAAGTTTAGTAATTTGTCAAAAATTTGGCACCAAAGCAGTGAAGATGGCCTTATAAGAAAATCCAAATTTAGGCAGGATAAACTTTCAGTTTAGCTAACTAAAGCCATTCCTCTTTTGTGCTTTCATTTGAACTTTTGGAATCTACTACAGATTTTTCAAATGAAAGCTATCCTTTTATCATTATTTACACAAGATCCTTGCACACAGAGGCACGTATCCTATAAAATAACACCATTCATATTTTGTAGATTTTCACTTGCATGGGACCCTTCCAAGGCTCTGACATTAATTTGCATTCACAATTGTGTGTGTGTGTGTGTATATATATATGTATATATATATATACATATATATATATATATTTTTTTAAAGAATACCTCCAAAGGGTATGACTTCAGGCTGGCCCCACAAAACCTTGATCCACCTTTGCTTACCAGCAGACTTGCTTTCTTCCTTTTGCTATGCACCACATAGGAGTGAACCACACACACCTTGGGTGAGGATCTCCGTTTCTGTACCCAAATGCCTAAGGTGCTACTGCAGAGTCATGTAACAGGAATAATTCAGGGCCAGCAACCTTAAAGGGGCCTTTTGTGTGATTCTAATACATTTTGTGCTTAACTCACTCTCTTCTCTCTGAAATTACTACTTCAAACTATGATTACTCTGTTCACAGTTTGGTCCTTCCCCTCATTGTCTCCCTCCTCAGTTTTTGCTTTCTCATTACACTGTCCTTTGCATTTATCTTTTTCCCTACCTGGAATGTTCTTTGCATTTTATATGTCAGCTGCCTGGAAGCCATTAACATTTGCATTTGATATTCTTCCTAGTACATTGTTCTCAGATCCTTCCTTCTCACCCTCTTCAAGGAGTTAGTAAGCACTTTATAATAAAGCTTACTTTATTTCAAGTTGTCACATAGGTTAGAATCGTTTCTTTGTTTGAAAATTCTTATTTTTGTGAGTATTTATTTATTCCTCAGTAGGGTTGACTAAGATCTATCCTCACTTGACTTAAGGATCTGTATTTATATGAGCCGTGTCAGTATTCATTTCCCCATTATATCCTGGGACCTAGCACAGCACTTGCCATAAAATAGGCATTGAAGAAATACATATGAAATGAATGAATGAATCAGTATCATGTGCCAGATTGTGTATCAAATGACTTTTATACATTCTCATTTCACTTTTACAACCAAACACGTCATTATTAAAATTGTTTTTATCTTTTTTTTTTTTTCTTAAGAACAAGTAACCAAGGCTTAGAAAATATGCTAAAAGAAGGTGTTTTGTTGTCTTATTCTACAGATTAGGGATTGAGGCTTAAGTACGCTAACCTTACGCCCAGTGTCATATGAGTAGGATGAGTGGGAGCTGAGATTTAAATTCAGGTTTCTCTGATTCCCAAACGCATGTCTTTGTCAAAATACCATGCTGCCTTTATGCATTCATCTTGCTCTTTGAAAGTAACATTATTCAGCTTGAAGGGATCTTGCAATTTGCCTCAAAGTATATATATTTATGAGCCAGAAAAATTAGGCCAGAAATATTAAATGACTCTATCAGTTGCAAAGCTACTTAGAGAGCTGAACTTAATATAGTTGATCCTTGAATAATTTGGAGGTTAGGGACCTCACACTCCACACGCACAGTCAAAAATCTAGATATAACTTTTGCTCCCCAAAACTTAACTACTAGTAGATTACTGTTGAGTGGGAGCCTTATAGTAATGTATATATTATATTAATGTATATAATATAATGTATATAATGTAACCCACCAATTAACACATATTTTGATTTTCACTATCTTGAAACGGTAGGCAAATGTAGCTGGAGACCTCAATCTATGGTGCATATTCAGCAATTCAGCTTTCTCTTATGTCATGACTTTTTTCTGCTTCTTGGGAGCACTTCCAGCATCACTAGTTGCACTTCTTGTGAGTTTCATGGTGTTAAGGTTTATGGTATTGCACTAAACATAATGAAAAATACATAAGAACTGCAAGAGATCACATTGTACTATGATATGCAATTTACTGGAGAGATGAACTGTTCATACAGAGATGATTAGCATCACCAGGATTTTGAGCTCACTGGAATAGCACTAGGAGGTGGCTACAAAATTATTACAGTAATACAGTATGTACCACAATTAATTTTATGCAGTTACGATTTAGTATTGAATTACATGTACATTTCTCTTAAATGAGAATGACAGTATCTACAGTCTGTGTGTATGAGTTTTGATAAATTTCAACTTTTAAAAATACATTTGTATTATTTTATAGTAAATGAGAAAAATAGATTAGTATTAATATATATTTTATATATTCATGACATACCTTTTTCTTTTTTTTGACATTTCTATACTATGGGATTTGTCTGCAAGTTTTTTCAAATCGTTGAAAATCTCCAAAAAAAATTTAATATGGTTATTTAAAAAAAAAATTTATTTACAAGTGGATCCAGAGTTCAAACTTGTGGAGTTTAAGGGTCAGCTATATAGATATCTTTTGACCCCTAAATTAATAGCTTGAGAAATACTACTTCCAAAGTAAATCTGTAATGCTTTGGTTTGATTATAGTGTTGAGAAACATACGCCTGCCATAATTGCCATTGTAGCTTGTAATTTCATAGTGGAACAAATAGCTGGATAAAAAGATAAGGTAGATATGACTCTACGGCAAACTTGAATACAAGAAAAAGATAATTGCAGCAATATCAAAGTCTTATATAATGTTTAGAATAAGCAAAAAAAAAGGACCAGAAAATACATTATATATTTTTCATGGATATTACTGGTCTTAGTTGTAATTTTTTACCTTTAGATGATGTTAGTTGTGGCACAGGAGGGTTTGAGTCTCTTTATTTCCATTATTTTACTAGCACTTCACCTTTATCAACAGGTGTCTAAGAGATTGTACAGCATGGGTTGTTATGAGATCTCTCTAGGAGACACAATTGGAGTGGGAACTCCAGGAAGTATGAAAAGAATGTTGGAAAGTGTGATGAAAGAAATCCCACTGGGTGCTCTTGCTGTTCACTGTCATGACACCTACGGACAAGCCTTAGCAAATATCCTTACGGCCCTTCAGGTATTTTGTACTCTTTGTGTGTTATGTGTGTGCATAGGGTGTTCATCTTTATCTGTAATATAAACATACCGAGAGTTGTATTGTTACAATTTTTATAAAATATTATGAATATAATTTTAACCAGTGTCTTCACATGACAGGTACTTGGGAAATATTTGTAAATCTCACATTTTTTTAGGGCAATGAAGATCTCTTATTAATTTGATTTGATAAAATCTGTAATCTGTTCTTTTGAAAAGTATTAATCTTAGCAGAGTTATGTCTGCTTCTCTTCCCATATTCTGTCAACCGTAACATTTAATAGACTGAAATACGATGGCAGTTTAAGCAGTGCAAAACATAAAAATAGTAGACTATCATAATCATGAAATTAATGCTTTGGTGATTTCATGCTCTCTGATGGGAAGATATGGTGCTGAAATATAGTATATTTTGCTTAAAATGTTTTCCTGATGTTGGCAAGCTTACTTTAGACAGAACTTATGTCTTTTAATCAAGTATATTTCATTATATGATAAAGTGAAAAGATCTGAAAAGTGGGAAGACTGCGAATTGCTTATTACATTCTGTGTTATTTTAAATGTATTCATTTGAAAGAATAGATAGAAGTGGCATTAAAATAGTATTATTTTAAAATTAATGTCAGGTTCTTAAATGCCGCTAAAAATGATTTGTTTGATATTCTCAGAACCCAAGATTTTGACAACTAAAGATAAGACTATATAAAAGTTTTCTGGTTGGAGGCTGAAAACCAATATGTAAAGCTTAATATCACAATCCTAAAGTATACAGTTGGTTGGCAGAAGTTAAAAAACAATGGGGATATGAAGTTCCACAAGGGCTTATTTTGACTTTGTAACATATGTATACAAATCCTTATTTATCGTCTGGAAGCAAGAAAGGAACGTTCTATTGAATCAGAGAAAAGAGAAAATGTTATTTCATGGTCTTTGAGGCATAGGAATTTTTACAATTTTCCTTCCCTACGTATTCTAGTTTCTGAAACAATAGAAAACTAGGCAGCCCTTCAGGATCCTGTGTTCAGCTGCAACTGGAAGTTATTAAGTGTTTCTGAAGGGCTCTCTCTCTCTCTCTCTCATTTCTCTGTATGAATATATCTTCTATGTTTTAATACTTTGAGTAATCACTTATTTGTGTAGCGTACTTATTATAGAATGAATGACAGTTTAGCTCTTCAGGATAAAGGGCTATAGAACAAGATATGGGACCTCAAACTTCTGCTTCTGAACTATATCTGCCTCTTGAAAATGTCCAAGTAAGAAAACATTGCTGATACCCGAATGCAGTTTGAATGGTTAAGGAAGGCCTATCTGAAGAAGCAATTGTTGAAATCATATCTAAAGAATGAGAAGGAACGAATCCTAAAATGGTGTGTATGTGTTGTGTGTGTGTGTACGTGTGTGAAAAGAATGTTTTAAGTTGATGAAATATCATTTGAGCAAAAGTCCTTGGGGAAGGAGAGGATTATGTCCTAGTAACTAAAAGAAGACTAATGTATTCAGATAAATTAAGGTTTATGAAATTTGCTATATTAGTTGAACTGCATTGTCTCTATTTTCTGAGAGATTTGGACTGAAATTCTGGTCTAGTTTTCCATCTTATAACAGCCATACAGAGGACAAGAAACAACCTTGGGCCCAAGCAGATGAGGAACATGAATGAGAACATATGTAAGGGCAGAACTCCCCAAAAGACCACACCCCCAGTCAAAGGGTGAATCAGCAAAAGATCCACCGCATAAAGGGAGAGAGCAAGCATATTCAAGTCTCATGGTCTCGGCTATGAGTAGAGGAGAAATAGGACGTATCTCTTTATACTACACAATGTTTTGTAGACCTTCATGTGGGTTTAGGGTTCAAGTTCACATACCTTCAGAACTGGAAAGACCTAAGCAGATGAGTTATTTTCAAATGCCTATGGGTTAGTAGCACTGCAGGTGCCAGAAGAATATTCTTATATATTTTTTATATATATATATATATAATATGAATATATGTATTACATATTTGTATATGAATATATATGAATATATATTTTTAAGGAACAGATCTTCAGCTTACACTGAACTATTTGAGATCTGTGTGTCTGTGTGCACACGTGCATGTGTGTGTGCGGGGGAGAGATTGATACCGTACCCCTCTGTGGCTCCTGTGATAAAAGAATGTCTAAGTGTCAGGATCTGAGGATCTGTGTTTTCTGTTTTCCTACCATGTGCAGAAGGGGAGAAGGGGCCTTGGAAAGCAATAGTATACTCTGTGTTACATTGCCCCAGAGCTTAATTTATAGCCACAGTGTAAATACATGGATAAGAGAGTAAAAGTGGCTTGCATAATAAGCAACATTGATATAAGGCCAGAGAAGCTACTATAAATGAGTGATTGAGAAAATGGTCAAAAAGCAGAGATGTAGAGCTTTCTGTCTATTCCGCCGTCAGTGGGCATAGAGTTCGATATCGCGTTGACATCATAAGAAAGATATATACACAACTGCTTTCTTGAAACTGTATGTAACTGAGACAGTGTTCAAATGTTTTGAAACGTTTGTGTTTATGAAAGACAACCACATGTGGTACTGGAATGTCACTGCAAACACACATGTGGACTGGTCCTGAGTGACGCTGAGTGAGGTGTTCACCAGGGCTCTCTTCTCACCCCTCTTCCAACAACAACAAAAACACAATGAGCAGGTTTAACTTCAGAGGAGACGAAGAAAATATATTGAAGGAAACTGTCAGTGTTTGAATAGAAGGAGAATCAGGGAAAATCTAACTTCATTATGAACGGGGCCAACCTTGGCTTTAGGAAGCAGAGGCCATACTTCATTTTTTAAAAATGGAATCTTTGAAGTGGCTTCTAGTAAGATTGGTGGTGGATATGGACTAGATATCATTTGCTTTAATTTAGGAGTGGAGAAGCAGTTTACAGCGCTTCAGACTGGAAGTTAATATTAAGGCAAGCAGACATGTAATAAGTGGAAACTTGGCCACAATGATAGGAAACAAATGAAAGTTATAAATGGAACGTCCCCCTCAGTCTGGAAAGCACACACTAATAGTGTAGTAGAGGGATCTGAGGGATCTTTCTTGGGTTCCTGGGTTTTATTGTTTTTTTAAATTACTTAAATACATGATTTATGGGACCAGAGATGGTTGTATGGAATTCAAGAATAATTATCATATTATTTAATATAGAGAAATTATTCTGAGCATGTCGATCCCAGTGTGGGATATTTATAATCCCTCAAAACCAAAAGAGCAAGAAAATGAGGTGCCAAAACGTACAGCAATTTTAGTCACGGAAGAAATGGATGTGGCCCAATATACTTTCTTAATTTTTAATGTAAAAATTTAGCTTCACCCTTCTGCCAAGTACCTAAGTAAAGTTAAAGGCTAGTTAACAAACTATTTAATCTAATTAATTTCTCAGCCTCTATTTTTCTCCACTGAAATGAGAAAGCAAATGAGATCCAATACTGAAATAACAGCTACACATTGATTGGTAGCACAAAGACAAAGAACAGGCAATATTTGGATTCCTTCTGAAGAAGTACTATGCACCCTTTTTTCTCTTAAACTTAATAAATTTTAATGTGCCTTTTCTCATGTTTTTCATATGCTTACTATTCTCTTTTAGAAAAACCAAATTGTTTACTTAATTTTTACATCAAAAGCTTTCAGTTTTTAGATTGACTCTTAACAAACCATGTTTAACAGCCACCAAATAGCAAATCTTTCTTCAGAGAATGTTTTTTAGTTTCTCAAGAAGAAATTTTAAAAATTCCCATTACTAGCCAGATAAACCTCTTTGTTTCTCAGTTCTATATTTGTAAGAATGGATATATGATGTCTACTTCCCTGAGTTGTGCAAAACTGAGATGAGATACAGAATTTCTAGAATGATGCCTTGATAACAGTACACATGGTTGGACTGTTAGATTTTCAAGTGTGTATAACCAAGGTTCCTAAGCCACAGAAGTCTGAATGAACAAAGATGAACAAAGTGCCTTTATATGTATTTTTACAAGTGGTTGTATTGTTTATATCAGTGGTAAAAAATGGGTAAACCTTCTAATACTTTTATTAGTTTTAGTTCATCTCCAACATCTTTCTATTAATATAAGCATCTCTCTGATTTTGGCAATAGGTGATCAATTAGTTTTTGTCTTTAGGGATAATATAATCTTCATCTATTTCTAGATAGCCACAGGTATAATGGATAGTTGGAAAAAGCTGTTTCTGAGCTACAGGAAATTTTAAACTGACATTCAGTTAATCAACATTTAAAAATAACACATATAAAAGTTCTGATTCTACTCTAATAAGCTAAAAATGAAAGTGGTTAATCTTCATGCAACAGACTATACTTAGATCTAAAACTTGAAGCTCACCAAGAAAGTAAACACATCTAAACCCACCCTGCCACTCCCACAGCACTTCATCCATGCTGACCAAATGGACAAGTAGTAGAAAAATTGATTGTCAAGTGTTTCCTGAGTCAGAAAAGTAAAAAAGAATGAACGCTAGGTTCATCAGTAGAAGGGTTTTTTGTTTGTTGATTTTCTTTTTAATCACAGTTTAACAATTTTTTGTTTGTTGTTGTTGTTATTTGTAAATCATTGTTTCCACACTTAACATCAGCACAATTAATTTACGTTGGTAAATTAATTGGGTAAGGGTAAAGAGTAAAGGATAAAAGGGTAAGCATAGGGAATAACATACATTGTGATCTCCATTCCCACAAGTCACAGCTCACTGGACCAAAGAAACTCTTTAACACATGTCTGACAGTTAGAACATCTTTTTTGGGATCCAGAGGCTGAAAAGGTCATAGGCAGAGTCCTGGAGTTCAGATATACACAGAGAAGTAAAGTCGAGGCTCATGAAACTGAGAGATTACAGGATGGAGAATATGCCTGGTAGCTTTTCACTTTCCATGGGGCCAAGTGTTGTGGTTTTCTGCTTCATATTCTTAAAATTCTCC